CTGATAAGCTCCTTCATTCTTCTTGTTGATACTGTAATTTGTCAGATGCATGAACTTGTTGCTCAAACTCTTCATGGATGAGGAATACCTTAGGAAAAATTCAATCTGTAAGTAACCAAGTCAAAATACAGTTGAACTTCTCCACAACGTCCACCTTGGGGTTAGAGGAAAGTGGCTGTTATAAAGAGGTGGCCGTTGAAGAGGTTCAAATAAAAGTCAATGCATGGATTATCTGTCTGCAAGGACAAAAAAAAAGGGCGTTTAGAGAGGTGGCCATCAGTGCAGGTTCAAATGTAGTAATGCAAGTAAAAGACTTCACTTGTTTTCAGTTACACAATGATAACAGTATCTCAAGGCTGTTACCAGTGATGGCCGGAGTCCAGAAGCCTGAAGCATCCAAAAATTCAACAGTGAGTGTTCCGCAGAGAATGTGAGCTTGGCAACCTCGTCCCAGGGTTCTCTCATGAGGTGGCCTGAGTAAATGCACACCCAAACTTGCCCAAATTACACTTCAGGAAGAATGACAATACGCCACTTTTATAACAGGCAGCGAAGCCTCTTGACTTTGGTGCCGAAGTCTGTCTACAGCGAACGAGTGATGCATTTGCATATCGTAAGCCACCAAAATAACTCATGACATACCCTTTGGGGATCCTCAAATTAAAAGAAATTAATTTTCTAAGCCTATGTTGGACACTTTCTCTTGTAGATGCTTTCAATATTTTTCCAGGATACTTGGCTTGGTCCATTTTAAAAAGAGGCTCAACTTTACTAAGAAAGTACGTGTACTAGTTTAATACAATTGAAAAACTACTTACTTGCAAGTTGCAAATCTGACAAGTCCATCTTCAAAAACATAAATTCTAAGTGGATCATAAGAAGTGACATAGACATAGATACGCAGATCAAATTTGCTGCCATTGATGAGAAAAGGCTTGGCCAGATACCTAGAGGTGACAGAAACACATTCAAAAAGAAAATGGATGACTGTATGCTTTTATAAGTTACATTTATCTCATTATCAGTTAGCAAGGTATAAAAAAACATTATAAGACATACAGGTTTTTATTCCAAAATTAAATTATGCATCTATGTGATGTAATATTGAGTGAAAGATGGGTTTGTACTTATTATAATTCACACTCCATGTTAAAGTACCTTTGAACAATAACAGGTCTCTTTCGTGGAATCTGATTCCACTTGTGGATTACACGGATTCCAATTCCTCTCGCTGAAGCAGGCTGTCAACAGCAACAAAAAATGGTTAAGATGAAGAATGAAGATACTCAAAGAAACTTCATAGGACTATGAGATAGATAGATAGTTTATTTGTAAAAAGCTTGCAGCTACTAAGCTGAATTGTGTATTTACAATATAATATATAATATAATATAACAGAATCTTACAATAGTGAGTATAATAAAATGATAATGATAAAGTCCTAAATAAATAATAACATCCTATAAATATAAAAAAGCTTAAAACTGTTAAAACATATACAACGTCATCGATCTCATTTACAAAACTCACCGAGCGCTAAAATTCGTTATCAATGCATGATCTTACTAAGAAACTATTTTTGAGACGCTCGGTCTTACATTTGAGAATCACAAAATGCCTTTTGCACCGAAGATTATAACACGACGTCCCTGACAATTGAAGCATGTTATGTAAGTGATGGGTCGGGTCATTATAGCAATCGAGAGGAAGGTCTTTTTACATAAGCTAGCGATGTAGTCATTGATAGACATAATATTTGAAAGCTCTAAGGCCTTTCTATAGGCCAGTCCCGGGCAAATGATTGGTAGTGCCCGTTTCTCTACATTCTCTAGATCTTTCTTTAAATACAATGGCAGGGCGTAGAAAAACGCAGGCGATGCTTAGGTCATGACTGACCTTATACAAGATGTATAAAAAAGAATTAATTCATGCCTTGCGACATTGGCCCTTTTCAATTGTATTAGGAAATATATACGTTTAGAAGCTTTCTTTATGATTTGATCAATGTGCAGATGACTGACTATGTCAGAAATGACATAATAAAAACTGAACATTCTGATAATACAAAGCAAATTTTCAAAAATAAGTGAGATCACTGTTCCTTGATACCTTGATGATACATATAGCTATATTGAAGTGTTGCAATTGATTTTTTGAAATTACTGGTAACCTGGCAAATTGTCAGTTTATTACCAGTATTGAATTTTTCAGTATTTTCTTTCAATAGTAGATAAATGCTGCGATACTTTTAAAAACATCCACCATTTTATTGTGCTTAAGAATTTTTTTACACTTTTTATTTTCTGTCTTGTCTCACCTAACCTGGTTACCGGTATATTAATTTTATTAATAAATTAACTATAAACAAACAATTTAAAAAACTTTAAAGTAAACACAAAATTGTGAATGGCAATCAAATACCGGCTTTAAAATCCACTTTTGTTTGCCGTTTCCATCATCCCAAGCTCTTTTAAGAAGTTTAAAGTCATATGGAAGAACATATGTTTGAGGAACAAATCCATAATCCTGCAATAAAAACAAAAGAATTTTGAATGTTACCATCATGGAACCTCTTCCTTTGTGACACCTTCATTCAAGGGGCACCTCCATTCAGAGGATCAACACTTGGTCCCACCAGTGGTCCCAAAAGTGTCCCCTGAATAGAGGTTCTAATGTATTTTAAAAAACATGCATAACTCCAATATCAACAGGTTCTACTTTTTTTCTATCAGTTTAATTTACAGGACTCTCGTGCAAGATTCAACAACATTTAAACACCAACCTTTTTTCCATGGTGAACCATCATTCTGGACAGATTTCTCCACAGTCGGTCTTTTCTTCCAATTTGAAATGTCCCAGGAAAATGATTGACCTGCGGGTTTGGAAAGAATAACACTGAGTCTAGTTCTTAATGGGATAAAACAGCAAATGTGTGTAACTCTGGGAAGGGGGGTGGGGAAGGGTTATGATAGGTGTTTGAATACGGTATTTACTCAAATAAGGGCAGCCCACGATTAAGCGCTGCCCTCAAATAATATATGTGGCCTTGAATAGGCGCTGCGGCCCTGATACAATCAAAATCAAATGATGTTTATTCTGTTAAAATAATAATTCTGTGATGTGGCTAATACAATTCTTTGTCACCTCCAACTTTCCAATAAATGCCGCCCTTAAATAAGTGCCAACCTCAAATAAGCTCTCTCACCTTTTGATAGTCTCTCACACTTTTGAAACAGCTTGCCTTCATGTGCTTTCCCCAATATCCTAACCAATCATTTCCTGTTTAATTATTAAAAATAGATAGGATAACTCAATTAAAAGCTATTAGATATTTAGACTAACTAACAGATACTACATTTACATTTACCATATTACAAGCATTCCCTCTTCTACAAGGCTTATATGCTCGGATACTAAAGCAGGACACTCAACACAAGCTTAGTGTAAAGTGGAATACGATCTTATTACATTGAAAAGGTCTGTAGAACATCATCAATAAATATTAACCAATGGAAGCTTACTTTTAGTTGGTTTAAAACCAACTCTTGCAATACACTGCTTTATGACATTTGGGGTTATGGAACTCATTTTCCATCTCAGCAGCTTCCGCAATTCAGCAGAAAGTGGAGTCACTGGAAAAAGACAATAATATCATTAGTATAACAACATATATGTATACAAAAACACATCATTTACAATTAAACAGTAAGCACCATAATAATAAGGCAATGCTTTGTGGGTCAATTTTGAGGTCTACAGTATACTGTAAGTTCTACGGACCATGTTTGCAAAATGCAACGTGATTTGACCCTTGAAGTCCCTAGAATGATCAACATCAGTTTTCTCCTAACATAACAAAACATAATAATGAGAGGAAAGGTAATGAGATTCAATAAAATGATCACCTACAGAGAAATGCTTTGATCTTTTGCCAAATTGTCCCAACTTGTTCTTTAAGAAAATGTATGGAGACCAGTTAAGAGAATTTGTACATGGATTGTACTTTACAATGCACCATGATCCGAAGTATCTCGGATCAAAAATCCTGTTCCAAAATATTCCAATGGAAAGCACTCAAAGTTGTAAATACCTTTTTCACCCTCGACAAAAAAATAAACTGTTGGTGGGACATGGGCAAATAAGCTCCGCACCAGAGGTTCAAGCTCCTCCTGCTTGTCATCTTCACCTGACGCCGACCATGCATTGGTTTTTCTACTTGATATTGATGACAAGGGCTTTGATGGCCCTAGAGCACTAGACCATCTGTCAACATCTGTCAATCTTGCACTTGATGCTCTTCCTTTAGCCGTGGAAACACGGGAAGAGGCAGCAGAACTTATCATAGACTGAGAAGCATCATCATCATTGTCATCATCATTATTGGAGAAACCAGCTGTGTAACAAACGATTCAGTCTTACAATTCAACGGGATGAGTTTTGAAGGGTTTAGTCATTGATTTTGACTACAACAGATTATATTAATTATTTTAGAATATTAAATTATGACATCACCAAAGACAACCATAAAAACAATAAACAATTCAACTCATGAATCAATAGAGTACCGAAGTGTGACGTCATAAAAAATGAAATTTGTGAAATTATGGGATTTGTTAAAATATTCCGAAAGAACAACGTCCAAGACGCCTACTCGCCAAAAATTAGCAATTTGGGGCAGATTGTCTCTGAGATATTAACCCAGTTATGCTCCGATGACTCCATACAAATCCTTCTAAATCTTACCTGGTTCCTAATCTTATGAACCAAGCCAAATTTAGAAGGATTTGTATGGAGTCGTCACAGCATAACTGGGCTAATATCTCAGAGACAATTTGCCCCGAATTGCTAATTTTTGGCGAGTAGGTGTCTTGGACGTTGTTCTTTCAGAATATCTTAACAAATCCCATAATTTCACAAATTTCATTTTTATGACGTCATCACTTCGGTACTCTATTGAAGGTTTTGCGTTATCAGCTTGAAACATGGCAGTTTACAAGATGTCAGAGTTGGGGGTGGCGTCTCTAACCAATAATGGATACATGTATCTGTCTGGCATTAAAAGGTCGTTAAGCAAACACTTTTATGGTAGTAGAACTTCAAGGTATATAAATGTATATGTTGTAGTTAATTTTTTACCGCAGGTAATTTTTGTGTTTCCTTTGTTTTTGGGTATGGTAATGTATCCTAATAAAATTGAAACAAAGGAAAAATAAAAATTACCTGAGGTAAAAAATTAACTCCCACATATATAGTTATCCTTCAGCCATATCACAATCAAGTTAATAGATGAAAGGTACAGTAATCGTACACTTGCCATAAATGATCAAAATAATAATTATCAAGACTTATCAAGAATAAACTTCACCATACAGTCGATACTGAGTCTGTGCTCTTAATATTAAAATGTTGTTTTATTTTTTTCTCCTCATGAAAGAAGCCAGTGAGGTTAACTTGAAAACCTGGCAGAGGCTTCATTCAGCTAAAACATTACAATAAGCCCTTCCAGCCCTTCCAGCTGTTATTGACATTTCATTGTTTTCTATTGTTAACCGCTGATTTCAAAAGAAAACTAAGCTATTTAAAAAACTAATGCTAAAAAACACAACAATTTATTATAAAATTAATGGAAAGGAAAAAATTGGGTTTATAAATTTAGGCTAGGGACATCCTAAGCCAGTCCCTACAAAGGCCTTTTTAACTGCTTCACTGACCTTCATCCAGCTCTTCACAGTCATAAAAATCGTCATCATCATTACACTCTGCATCAACGTCATTCTCACTATCATTTTCCTCTAGGTCGGAATTTTCCTCTTCTGCTTCTTCATCTTCCTCAGCAATGTCAGAAATACAGCCATCTCCAGGCATGCGTTCCCACGATGGACACCGAGTTTTTTCAAAATATTCCTCATTTTCCAAAGACTCTCCATCACCACTGACTCGCCCTTCATCAACGATATTTTCCTGTTTTTTTATATCATAAAACTTCCTCACGGCGGTTTTTCTTGATTTGGGTTCAGATGGTGGCAGAGGTGGTTTAACACCTTTTCCTTCCGTCCTTGTTGGAGTCCTTTGAATTCCAACTGGTCTGTGAGGGGGATGTGGTATAAACTTAGTAGCCTTTTGCGAAGTACCCGAATGTGTCTTGAGAACAGGTGGGGTGGCTTTCGCTCTGTACAGCCCGCTTGATTGATTACTACTTATCTGCAAACCACTAAGCCTAGATGACATGGCCTGTTCTACTACCTGCGACCTTGAATTCATTACGTCCTCTTCCTGAGCACTTCCACTGTTGCTGATAAAAATACGTTAGATCTCTTTTTCTCACTAGATCCTCTTGGCTTCCATGTATCCCAATCAAGACTGCCAACACGCTGTGCAAATCAATTCAGCTTTTAGATTAAAAAGTACGCTGCAAATTTACGGACTAAAGGCTTGAATGACCGGCAAATCTCACGCAGTGAACAATCAAAGAAACGTTGATTTCCAACTTGATTGTTTGAAGGGTCAGTCAGAACATTCTGCCATTGTTTTACAGTGCAAAAGTTAATTGAGCTGTATGACCGAGAGAAGTCAAACAATTCGTTCTGATAATAACGTAATTGAAATAGAGAAGTTCAAGATTTCTTCACAAAAAACACAAAAATTATACGGGTACCAGGGGCCAAGTAATTTGAAGTCAAACAAAATTAGTCATAGAAAAACAAATGTTGGATGAACAACATAAAAAATTAAGCATTGATATTTCCCTCCTTTTGGCCTTCGATCCTGTGCTTCAAGGAAATTCCAATATTTCGGTTTCGTCACTTTTCAGATATGAAGAAATCGAAGCCGCTGATCCACGCTAAAATCCAACGTTCCGGGAAAATGAAATCAAAATAGGCTGAATTTTTAATGTCGCCCAAACTACAGCTAGCAGCTAGGGCAATTTGACGTGATAATTCCGTCTTCAATTATTGGATTGATTATCCAGTAAATGAGTCTTTAGAATTAGGAAGGATCCCATTCAGATTTCCACACAAGAAGAAGATTTTAACTAGCCAAATACCGGGCTTGATGTGTTTGTTCAGCCACGAATTTGCCAACGAAGCGTTGTCCCAAACTTCGATGGCGTGTTTCAATTACAGCGATCGTTGTACCAAAATCGCGATAAGAATCCAAACGTTCTTTCGATAAATGTTATCTAAACGATCCAGACTTGTCCTTGTTTCACAAAAAGACATAATCAACGACGCAAAGTAACATTTCTTATCGGCGAAAGCCGCAGATGGCAATGTCCACTCCACTCTTCGCCGGGGAAACTAACTTTGTGTAATCCCGTGGCAACAAACCGACCAATCACAGCGAGCTTTCTGAAGGCGCAAGATAACTTCCATTGTTACTTGATCAACAGACGCTTAAATTTGGACACTTTTCTTTCATTCAGTTTTATTGAAACAAGGAGATTAGCAAACACATAACGAATTGTTCTAGGTTCTTAAAAAAACAAATAAGCTGAGACGCTTGGAGCTCCACCACTCGAGATAAGTTGAGTATAACAACCCCCCCCCCCGCGAAAAAAAAAGTCCTTTTCTTTGTGAAAACCCACTTTTAAAGACAAATGATAGCTATTAAAATGATTTGAATCAGTCTAGCTTTCAAAAAAACAAATAAAAACTATGTAAAAAAAAAAACTTAAATACAGATAGATGCAATGGGCTGATAAAAAATTGAGGATAGTAAAAAGAAAATTAAAAATTAATACAGGTTTTTATCGACGTTCCGGGATGTCCGAAGGTAGGCCGGGGGATGACCCTCTAATAATTAGCTCCTTTTTTACCCTGCGAGCAGTGGATTTTATAGCCTGCGAAAACAGCCGTTTGTCTTCGCTCCTCGCCGCTAGGGACGTTTCGCGTTTGACCCGGGAGAAGCTATTGTGATGAAGCAAGAGTGTAGCGTGATTGTGAAATGGCGTGATTAAATTCCTTTTAGATTTTGTTATTAATAGTTTCACTCGTCTGTCATAGAGAACTTGATGACAGATCGGATTAAAGCAAGTCACGATTTCGTGTACTGTGTGAGCGAGCCATTGTACCGCGAGGATTGAAGCTGTGAAATAAACCCTGTGTTTGCTTAAAAGTGTGATATCGTGAAGAACGGCCCTTCGGCATTCACGACACTATGTCTCTCGGCATCTGACAAAGCGAATAAAACTGTCTCCTTGGTGTTGATGGACTTAAAATTAACGAAATATTGGGCCTTCGGTTTTGGGGCTTAGGTCTTCGGTCTTCAGTCCTCGTTTTGTAGATACCCCTTATTCATGGAATGAATCTTGCCGAAGATTCCCGTCCTAATTCATGCCATGACTCTAGCTTGCCCATGATGCCAGTACTAATTCATGCCATGACTCTTGCCTATGGCTAATTCATGACATGACTTTTGCCCACTCCCGACTTATTTATGCTATGACTCTTGCCCATGATTTCCGCACTAGTTCATTCCAAGATTCTTTCCCATGATTCCCGTACCCAAGAATTAGCAGCGCCGTAGCTAGTATGAGGCCAACCGAGGCACTCGCCTCGGTAAAATTTTGACGAATTTCGCCGATCATTTTTATTTTACATAAGCGATCATCGGATATTTTTAACGCATCATGATATTACAAAGAATTCAGCAATTCAGTCAATATACTATGAAAAAATTACCATATCATCGATCTCAAGGGGCTACGTACGTTAACTCAAATTTTTTTTGAACAAATACTGATCAAAACCATTGGCGAGGTTAACGGTCACCCAGATTATGTAGCTTGTTTCTGATTATTGCTTTTTAAATTCCACTTAAATTAACTCGAAAAAAAGTTACCGAAAGGCCCAGAAAACGCTGCAAATC